GGCCACTCGGACGCCTCGGGACGGCGACGGCGGGGCCCAGAGGCCCACGCCCTGGAAGTCGGGGGACAGGTCCTGTGGGGAAACCCGGGCAACCAGGGACAGCGCGACCGCCCGCCCGGGCCTCGGGGGCAGGGTCCTCGGTCGGCAGCCCGCTGCCACCCTGCTCGGCGCCCCGGAGACGCGCGGCCCTCGCGCTCGCCCGCGTTTCCTCGCGACTTTTGGTCCCTCCCTCTTGCCGTCCTTCCAGTCCTCCGCCCCCCGCCCTCTGGGTTGTCAGGGCAACCCGAGAGACGCCTGCCCCGGAGAAGAGGCGTTGAGAGGGGCTGCGGCGCCGCTGGGGATCAGCCGCTGACCATGGAGCCCCAGAGTAAGGGAGGCTGGGGCCAGGGCAGGTCGGGGTTTCGATCCGGCGTGGGCCTGTGGGGGATCGCGTATGGGCGCCCCTCGCGCGGCTCCGGGACTTGGACGTCTTGCGTTCCCCTCTCGCTCTTAGCTCTCTGAGAGAGGACAAGGAGACTAAATCCTGCCAAGGTCGTCCGATTGGGTCTCCAGCGCCTTGAGGAAGCCGGAGGAACCGGGGAGCTCAGTCGCGTGGACTGGAGGGTGCAGCTCCCAGCGCGTTTCCTCCTGAAATCCCCGCCAGGCAATTCGATTTGTTATTACTATCACTGTCCTTGTTTCAGTTTGGTAGTTTGGATCATGAATTGCAAACAGCCCATCCTGCCTCTAAAATGTCAGCAATTAAACATGCAACCAGGCCCGGCCTTGTATTTATGAGACCCTGTTTCCTCCTTCCCCTGTGATCCCTGTTAGAGGTTCTACTGGCAAAACATTTCACAATTCATTTCCTTTTCTGTTTCTCCGCGTTGTTTTTATTGTATGACAAAAGGCGTACAGTGGAGTTATGGGGCCAGGGCAGGTCGGGGGTTTCGATCCGGCGTGGGCCTGTGGGGGATCGCGTATGGGCGCCCCTCGCGCGGCTCCGGGACTTGGACGTCTTGCGTTCCCCTCTCGCTCTTAGCTCTCTGAGAGAGGACAAGGAGACTAAATCCTGCCAAGGTCGTCCGATTGGGTCTCCAGCGCCTTGAGGAAGCCGGAGGAACCGGGGAGCTCAGTCGCGTGGACTGGAGGGTGCAGCTCCCAGCGCGTTTCCTCCTGAAATCCCCGCCAGGCAATTCGATTTGTTATTACTATCACTGTCCTTGTTTCAGTTTGGTAGTTTGGATCATGAATTGCAAACAGCCCATCCTGCCTCTAAAATGTCAGCAATTAAACATGCAACCAGGCCCGGCCTTGTATTTATGAGACCCTGTTTCCTCCTTCCCCTGTGATCCCTGTTAGAGGTTCTACTGGCAAAACATTTCACAATTCATTTCCTTTTCTGTTTCTCCGCGTTGTTTTTATTGTATGACAAAAGGCGTACAGTGGAGTTATCGGATCTAACAAGAGCTTCAACTTACGGATTTCCTTTTCCCCAAACCTTTCTAGGGACTACGTGAAAGTTCCTTCTTTCCCAGTCTCTGTCCAAGCTGTTGTCTCATTGCTCCATTTGTTTCTTAAACGACTGCATTTCCTTCCTCCCTCCCTCTCTCTTCGTTTTTTAGAGAGATTTTTGCTATAGGGCGTGTGCGCTCCCTGAAAACGCAGACAGCAAGAAATCACCCCCCAGGGAGGATGGCTGCCCACAATCTCTCTCCTCCACCCTCCTCTCAGGACTTTGGGCACACACCCATACTCGTCCGGTGTGAGTTTCAAGCCTCTGGGTCTGTGAATTGAACCAGGGTCAACCATGCTTGAGTCCAACACCTTAACCACTATGCCACCTGCTGGTCCCAGGACAGAGTGTTTTTTGTTTGTTTGTGTTTGTGTTTGTTTTGTTTTGTTGAGAGAAATTTTTGCTACAGGGCCTGTGCAGTCTTGCTGGAAAAACAGAGACACAGACAGAAAGCAAGAAATCACCCCCCCCAGGGGAATGGCCACTCTGCAATCCCTTCTCCTCTCAGGATATTGGGCATGCACACACACATGCCTTGAGTGAATTTTAGGATGTCATGTCCTGGACTCAAACCAAGGTCAACTACCTGGGAGTCCAGTGATGTATCCATTATGCCATCTGCTGCCCCCACTGGACAGCATTTTCTATGGAGACTTGAAATATCTTAAACTTTTATAGAAGGTTGCAGTTTGACTCAAAAGTAAGTCATTTTTTTTCTTGCACCATTTCAAAAATAAAGTACTCAGACTAAATCCATTTTCTGGGGAAATGCTAATACTTTCAAAGTTTATTCGTTTCCAACAAGTTTTTAGGATGTTTTCCTTCTTTTTAACTCATCTGCTAGGAAAAAGCTTGTAAGTTATGAGATACAGTTGCTTGAGTTGATAGGATTTTTATATAGTATCTATCATTTGCATTTATAGCTCCTTGGATTTTTCATTTTATTTAACATATTGAAAGAAACTTAGTGTACCACAAACTTTTGTCTCATGTCAAACGGATGCCCCCTTAATGAAGAAATAAATTGAAGTGAAATGTAGCTTTTAAATACAGCAGCTTTATTTGTTCCAGTTAGTATTATTAAGTGTGTGAACTATAAGTTTCAACTTCTTTAGTTCTCACTGTCTTCATCAGTCCATTCCTTCATATTACTTATTATGTTGCAGCTCTGTTTGAGTAATGAGCCATGACTAGGTCAGTGTTAGTTGTGGCCCTGAGGTCTCAGTGAGTAGCCAGGGTTTGAGGCTGAGAGTAGGAAGATTAGTGCAGGTGTCACAGGGGCCTGGTGCTGGTACAGTGGTACATAACTAGGCCCAAGTGGGAAAGGTCTTGGGTTTATGTCCCGGGACTTCCCTGAGCATGCTGAGCATGTGTGGCTGAGACTAGGAGTGGATTGTCACAGGAAGACCCTATTGGTGGGATGACTGTGCTTCTCTGTTTCTCTGTCCATCTTTCCCATTTAAAAAAAAAAAATGTAGGGGTTAGCAGCAGATGGCATAATGGTTAAGATGCTTGGACTCCCACATGGCCAAACTCAGTTCAAGTTCTAGACCTGATGACTTGAAAATCATCCCAGGTGTGCATGTGAGAGCCCAATATCCCAGGAGGAGAATGGAAAAGACAAAATGGATTATGACTCTGGCCATTCTCCCTGGGAGGGTGATTTCTCACTTTCCCTTTCACTGTCTTTTTCTCTGTCTCTCTTTGGTGGATGCATGTGCCCTATGACAAAATCTACATACATACATACATATATATATATATATAAGTAGCTAAGGAAAGGGGGGGAAACGAGAAAGAAAAAATAGGTAGTAGCATGGGAGGAGAGAAAAGGTGAGGCTGGAAAAGTCAACAAAAGTCAGGAAAGCTTTGTAAAACTGTAAAAAATATGTATTAGACCTGGGAACATTTATACCTCATCTCATTGGATTGTGAGGTGGAAAATACTTTTAAGTAATTTATGCCTGAAGAACAACTGTAGATGTATTCCTTTTTATATTTTCATAAATGCTTTTATCTATTTAAACAATTCTAAGAATAACCATTTACTTTAGGACATTCTTTCATAGTCTAGTAAACACCATTTGGTATAAACATTCACTAAATCATTCACAGTAAATATTTAAAAGGACAAGATTAGGGTCAGCAGGTGGCAAAGAGGTTAAAGCTGAATCCCACATGGCCAAACTGCAATGGCTAGAGTCCTGGACCCAGTGGCTTGAAAATCACACTGGGTGCAAATGTGTGTGCACCCAAAATCCAGAGAAGAGAATGGAGAAGTGATTGCAGCATGGCCCTTTCCCTTGGGGTGTGATTTATCTTGCTATGTCTATTTCTCTCTCTCTCTCTCTCTCTCTCTCCAGCAAGCACATACTCTATAGCAAACTGCATGCACACACACATACACATACAGAAAGTAAAAACAAAAGTGAAAGGACAAGATTAAATGATCTCTAAGATAATTTTAAGAATCATGTCTGGGACCAGCAGATGGCTTAATGGTTATGTCGCTGGAATCCCAAGTAGTCAACTGCAGTTTGAATCCCAGACCCTGCAGCTTGAAACTCATGTCGGGAGCATGTGCATGCATGCTCAAAATCCCAAGAGAAGAATGGAGGAGAAGAGAATGCAGAGTGGCCATCCCCCTTGGGGAGCTGATTTCTCACTTTCTGTCTTTCTGTCTCTCTCTGTTTTTCCAGTGAGCTCACGTGCACTATAAGAAAAATCTCTCTAAAAAAAAAAGAATAATTATTTTTTTTTTAAAAAGAATCTTGACTAACAAGATTTCACCTGAGACTGAAGTTATTTCATTCTCTCAAAGATAATGGAAGCAAGTATGTTAACAAGTATAGTTGATCCTTTATATCTGTGGGTCCTGTATCCTTGGAATCAATCAAGATAAAAAAATGTTAGGTTGTTGCTGACATGTAGTTTGTGTTACCGTTTGGCCAATGATTAAAAAAAAAAATTTTTTTTTTAACTTTTGCCAGAGAACACATGTGCTAACCAGAGAGAAAGAGAGAGAGATAACACATCTCCATTGGGGATGGTCATGTTGCAATCTCTTCTCCATTTCTTCCTTCTTTCAGGATTTTGGGCATGGATTGTGTATGTGCCTAGTGTGTTTCTCAAGTTGCTGGGTCTGGGACTCAAATTGTGTAGTTGGTCATGTGGGATCCAGCCACCTTAAACACCATACCACCTGCTGGTCCAATGGTTGTCTCTTTACTAAACATGTACTAACTTATTTTCTTGTCATTATTCCCTAAACACTATAGTATATCAACTATTTACATAGCATTTACATTGTGCTAGGTACTTGGAGTAATCTGAAAAATGATGTAAAGTATATTGGGACCAGCAGATGTCATAATGGTCCCATCACTGAACTCTCACATAGTAGACTACAGTTCGAGTTCCAGACCCAGCAGCTTAAAACTTACTCCAGGTACATGTGCATGTGTGCCCAAAATCCCAAGAGGAGAATGGAGGAGAAGGAACTGCAGCACGGCAATATCCCCTGGGGGGTTATTTCTTGCTTTTTGTCTCTCTGGCAAGTGCATGTGCCCTATAGCAAAAATCTCTCATAAATAAACGAAGTACATGGAACGATGTATGTAGGTTATAAGGAAATAGTGTGCCATTTGATATAAGGGATTTGAACTTCTGTGGATTTTTATGTCTGAGGGGGTTCTAGAATCAGTCCCCTGCAGATACCAAGGGAGGACTGTGTTGTAATTATATATAACTATATACTATTATCCTCTATGGATATTATGTTAACAATACAGTGGTATACCAACATTATCTGACATATTTATTTTAAGCCTAGTGTTTACATGCTACTTGTGAAATAAGAGCAGTCCATTTAA